GCTCGCGTCGCTAGCAGTAATAATTTCTAGTTTGGGGTCGAAATGTGTCAGTGCTAGCTCCGAAGTTAATTTTTGTATTATTTCCTTAAACACTTTCTGACAGTCTTCCGTCCAATTCCATTTGCTCTCTTTTTTCAGTAACTCATTTAGGGAGGTGGACCCTCAATTTACGCATATTTTCAATGAATTCACCGTAGTAGTTTGTTAGACCGAAGAAACTTTGCAATTTTGCAACATGTTTTTGGTTCAGGTATATTTTTAATTGCAGATGCCCTCTCTGAGTCTGGTTTGCTACCACTTTCATTAATTATATGGCCTAAGTATTTGATTTCATTTAGGAAAAAAAAAATCACATATTTTTTCTTTTACTTTAAACCCAAATCTTAAATTCTTTTAAAAACTTCCTTTATGTGCGATGCGTGATCTTCAACATTGTCGCTTTTACTTAGAATGTCATCCAAATAAACGGTAGCAAAGTTCTTGCCAGTAAGCATTGTATCCATCGTTTATTGAAACATTGCCGGTGCTACCTTTACACCAAATGGTAATGTGTTGAATTTGTATTGTCCTTTGTGCGTATTAATACATAGAATTTTCGTACTCTCTTCTACTGGAATCTGTAAATAAGCCTCGATACCTTACCGCCGTTAAGCTTGGTAAATATTTCCTCTGGGCTTGGTAATGGGTAATGATGATCTTTTATAGCCTTATTTAGTCCAGTCGAAAAATATGCGCAATCAAGGATTTCTCCGAATTTTTTTTTTTTTTGACAGACTACTGGTGCCGCCCATTTACTGAACTCAATTTTTGAAAGGATCCCAGTTTGTTCAAGTCTCTCTAATTCTTTGTCGATTTTCTCTATGGTAGCAAACGGCACGTTCCGCTTCTTTTTAAATACTGGTTGGACGTTTTCTTTTAATTCAATTCTGGCTGCAAACTTGCTGCATCGTCCCAAACCACTCGAAAATACCTCGGGAAATTGATTATGTAATACTTCCCTTACCTTTGTCCCTTCTGTAGGTTCGTACTCTATCTTTTTACAAATCTGATAGGTAAATCCCATACGTCGAACTTCTGCATCCAGTCCGTGCCCACCAGATTTTCTATATCCTTCATTACGAATATTTTGAGGTTTCTTGTTTTCCCGTGAAATTTTACATTTAGGATTACTTCTCCTTCGAAATTTATACACTTTCCTGTAACAGACTTATCAAATTTTTTTCTGTGTAACATTGTTGATGTATTAAGCTTTCTCCATGTTTGTAGGTTAATTATCCTGAATCTAGTTGCAATTTTATCTTTTTATTTAAGATTTCAAGTTCCACATATTTCCTTATGTTAGTATTGGCATGCATTCTAGTAGCTCATATCCTACTAGTAAATTTTCTGTTCCTACACTGGGATGCCTTGTGACCCATTTTCCCCACACGCAAGACAGTTTTTATATTTAAAACGACAATCCTTATTCCAGTGTCGTCTTCCAAATCGATAACATTCAGATGGAGGGGGGCTTATATTTGCTTTGATTTTCGTCATTATTTGCTCTATACGTTGTACTTTTTTCATTATTATAGAATGTTTGTTTTCTTTCTGGGGAGGGTGAAAAACGTCAACTTTTGTTTAACTTAATGTGATACTCCTGACTTCACAATATCCTTCGAGACTTTCTTTATACTCAGACATTTTTGGCAGTCTTCCGATAGTTTTTGTAGTGTTAATCCAGGTTAATTTTGCAGTTTTGAAAGCATTCTTTTGCGCATTTCGCTATCCTTTGCTGAGACAAACCCTTGTACAAAAATAAGACACTTGAAATTGTCCGGGGTTAATTCTACCAACTTGAAATCGTCGCAATGTTTATTCACGATTGCGGCGAACGTGGAGTAGTCCTCATTTTCATCCTTTACGAGGTTAAGACATTTGTACCTTTTGTGAAAGAGTGACGTTTTCGGGCTGAAAAGCTCCATCAGGCATGTAACTGCTTCATCAAATGTTAAATCATTTGTCTTCTTTGGCAAAATGTAATCCGAAAATTTTGTGTATTCTTCCATTCCTAATTTCCTGAGTAATAGTCGTAGCTTCTTTGCTTCCGTTCAGTTTTGACAATCGATGTTGAAGATGTCTTCATGACGTCTGAAAAAGTCCCCGAAATTTTTATCCTCTTCTAGGGAGTATTTGAATGTTTCTATCGTGTTCCATAATACGACTTGGGGAAAAATCGCCTCTTTTTTCAATATTATGTTGTTGTGTATTACTCGCCACTTTTACAATAAGCTCCTGGAGTTGTAATTGTCTTTCATGATTTTCCTTCTGCGTTTGTAATAATAATTTTTCCATTCTTTTTTGGAATTGTAATTGCTGTTCATTTTGTCTTTCTTGAAGTTGCATTTGCTGTTCATTTTGGTATTTTACAAATTCTACTAAAATACTTTTAAAATCGTCTATGATAAGAGTCTTACGAAAAACTCGATTTTCCTTATTTTAATCCTCGTAAATCTTTGTTACCCATTTGTTGTGGATACTGGCAAAAACGGAAATTTCCTCCTTTGAGTCTCCGAGAAGTGCCAAATTTTGTCCCCTAAGCTGTTGTGGTGAGAAGAGAGAAATTTTATTTTCCGCGTAGGTCCCAATTCCTCGTCAACAAGCTGTGGTCAGCAAGGGAGAATTTTTTTTTGTTCTCTGCATGTTGACGAAGGAGAATTTTGTCTTTTTTGTTCTTCCTATGTGAGTTTGATATCCTCGTCGCCAAGTTGTTGTGGTCGACGAGAGAGAATTTTGTCTTTTTTGTTCTTACCGTGTGAGTTCGATATCCTCGTCGCCAAGTGGACGAGGGAGAATTTTGTGTTTTTTTTTTTTTTGTTCTTCACGTGTGAGTTCGATATCCTCGTCGCCAAGTTGTTGTGGATTCCGGGATGAAATCCGGTACCAATCAATAACAAACACCAAAAGTGAATATAGAAAAATAATGTATTAACGTAATAATACAAACTGATAATGCAGGTTAGTAGTTCCAGGAATACGGGTTAATAGCAAAATATCTATACAGTCTTTGCTATTGAAGTATCGCTATATGACTTCTTATTGAGTCTATGTGCTCGCTCATTGTGACTCTTTATTCGCTACGTTCTGTCTGTCTGTCTGTCTGTCTGTCTGTTACCTTACTCTTCCGGTTACCTACAACCTTTCACTCCCCTCTCTTGTCCTGTCGGGTCTTCATGTAGCAGTAGTATATCTATATACTGGGTGAGTCCATTTGTGTAAAAAGGGGAGGACCCCTCAACAGTAGGTTATGCGCTATTTTCCTCTCTCACCTCTGCCTTCAATAAGTCCTGCGAGTTTAAAAGTTTTCTAGCCTCGTACGCCTATCTGCCCTAGACATTTCAGATGTCACTTTCTGATGTTAAGTATAAGTGTCCTTTTTCTTACTATTTTCTCTAAAACTTCGTTGTTGTTCACATGTTCATTACACTTTTCTCTGTTTCTAACCAAATCTTTCTGTTTCTTAATATTTTGCTTAGCTTTTGAAACTCATCTTTCGCTATCCCAATGCGGCTTCAGATTTCAGTGTCGCGATTTCCGTCCTCTTTTAAAACACTTAATAGATTTTTAAATTGTTGTACTTGCTTGATTTTGTAATTTTCCGTTTGGAATTTCGATGTTAAGCTATTCCCTGTTCTGACAATCATACATTTTGTTTTGAAATTGATGTTTAATTCTTTCTTCTCGCTTTCTTTTACTAGCTTCTGTAGGACTTCTTGCCGTTTCTTTTTGTGAACAGCCACATTAGAATCGACTTGGTGACTTTTTGCTCGAGTGGGCTTCAACATATATTCCGATATAAACTTTAACTCAATACAAACGCAGCGTATGAATGAAAAACGCACATATTTTTCACGGCTAATATTAATACTTCACATTTTCTAACCAACCCTAACGCTTTCATTGATGCCTTTGAAGATTTCCTGGTGAAAGTTCGACATGTCAGGTGGCGAACTTATTGTTCCATATTTTGTAATTATTATTCATAATGAATGATTTTATTTTAGTACGTTATTCAGATAAATCCGAGATATAGAAAGAAGAAGATTGTGTTACGCCGGTCTTTCAAGGGAAATATCTACAGCTTTGGTAGTTGAACTTCTCTAGAAAGAGTGTACCTATCTCAGCCACATGAGTTGAATGACGATTCGGAATGAGAACTCGGTAATCGAATTCTAGACGTGTTCCTTATATTTACTTACCCAAAAACACCCTTCAGAAAGGTATGAATCCATCTACCTTCTCCCCTCGCCAACTATGGGTTGTATAGCAGGAGAGACTGTGTTTATTCGCCTTCGTTGGCAACGTACTGCAGAAAGAAATGGCAACATATTGCAGGAAAAATCTTCTACTTAGTCATGTATCTTTCTGTCATAGGTCTATACCTATAACTACAGAATGAACTCTTCCTAACACTACGTATACTACGCCTCTCAAGAGAGAGGGAGGAATCGAGTCGAGCCGATAGTAGTTCACTCCAAACGAGACTGACAGTCATACTAACACCTTCCATATCTTGTATTATTATTTCGTGTAATATACCTTCGTTATTTCTACTCTTGTGTTCGGGTTGTTCTTCCTTGGTCCTAACCTGGACCATAACACTTTCGATACATGATAACCCAATCACGTATGTCAATTAACTGTCTGACTGAAAGGATCAACTTAATGGAGTCCTACTAATGAGCAAACTATTTCAAGTCATTGATTGATTCGTTTTCTACGCAGGTTATTTAATGCCAGAAACTTTTTTTTTAGCTTGAATGGATTTATTTTTGAGATAATGATTTAGTCACACAAATCATATTAATTAACTCACGGCTGTTGGGGAGAAGATGTGGATTCATACCTTTTCCAAGGGTATTTGCGCGTACATGAATATAACAAATACAACTGGAACTTATATTCGGCTCTGCGATTGACAATTCCGAGCCATTATCCATTGCACCACCCACACAACCAAGCCTACAGCACTTGGTGTTGTCAAGTGGTCACCCATCTAAGTACTTTCAAGGTTCGACGTCGCTTAACTTCGGTGATCGTACGGGAAGTGATGCTTAAACATGATATGGCCGTAAGCCTCAACTCCAGTGAGAAATATCTCGGCAATGATCCCAGACAAATGTCAGGATTTCTAATCTCTAGTAATGACTCAACGTGGCAATGTTGTTCTCATTTGGACATGTGCCGTAATGCTATAAATTTAGTGAGTATAATAAAAAGCTGCATCTAAGATGTGAAACTATAAGTCTATCGGTTATTCTATGAAATTATCAAAATATAATGTTTCCTTTTGGAAAATGAATAACATTCTTTTAATTTCATTATGATTATCAGTAAAAAATAATATCGTATGGCGTATTTGTTGAGTCCTTGTTTAAATAAATGAAAACAAAAAGTTTTCCTTAATAAAGAGAATTCTAATATTCTTAAATTGGTTTCTTCCGCAGCATAAACATTTTGAAATGAAGTTTCGCAATGATCTCTTTAAAAAAGGTATCTTAAACTATATTTACGAGTATTTCAAAAGCTAGGCAAAATATTACGAGACAGGATGGTTTCATTATTAACAAAGAAAAGAGTGCTGAACTGCTACGTGATTTCAGTCCTCCTTTACGGCAGCGGATGTTGGACAGTCTCCTCAAAGATGAAGAGACTTGAGGCGTAGTACTACAGAAGGATGCTAAGGATATTATGGACCGAACATGTGATCAACGATGAGATTCTAGATAGGAATCAAACAAACATGAAATTCAGACTTAACTTTGGGAAGAGGCAGCTGAAATTTCTGAGACAAGTAATGAGAAATGAGGGCTTGGAAAATCTGATACTCATAGGGCGGATAGCGCGAAAGAGAGACAAGGGAAAGTGTTGTGTAGGAACCTACCACCCCTCTTGAAGATGAACTCGTCTACAAACAAGGACGTTAAATAGTGGCATGTCAAAAGACAGTGTCGGAGAAGTTCTGGGCTGAGTTAGTTATAGACTACTCAGGCGATTTCTGTACCAACTTACCAACCGAATAAACCCCATTTTATTGTTACATGTTATTTGGCGTTTGTCTTTATTAACCCCAAATTAACATCATAACAGAAAGTAATGCGTGACATACTGAACGGGCTAAAGCAAGTGGATTTCAGAACAGGATCCTGAAGAAGTAACAAAAAATCAAAGCTTATTGAGAGCTACAAGGGACAGAAGGAAATGGAGAACCATGATCACCTACGTTCTTTACGAACACGGCACATATAAAAGAAGAAGATAATGAAGAGGTGACAATAAAACCTTTTTTGATTATCACTTTCACGGTATCTGGGTTTGTATTGTAATGCCGAATAGATTATCCCACACATTATCTCATTTGGGGAAGGTTTGAGCATTTATTAGGGCAAATATTTTCTCTTGATTCTTGCAAGCTCATTTGTAATTGCTTTCTCTTATTCTAATATATTTCAACGAATAAAGTATTACGGATGCAGATATTTGATTGAGGGTGGTGGTTCTTAAACGATGCAGTGCGCCTCATAGGTGGGCCAGAAAAGTACAGTAGATGAAGAGGAATTATTAAAAGTCAATCAAAGATTTAGAAACAATTTCAACAAATTCATATACCAAAAATAAATATGATTTCAAAATTTAAAATATTATTATGGATTACTTGTAATGGCATGCATGTGTCCAACTATAAATATTTTTATAAATAACCATTTTATCATTGTGATATTTTTACATTAGAGCAAATATTAAGAACTTTGTATTTAGGGTCCGAAAATTGGAGGAGAGAGTTATCAATGATAATGTTTTGACTTTGAATCCGCGGTTATCTCACATTAATCCACACTCTACTTTTTATTTTTAATGTACTTTTTATCATATAAAATTTGGTGAGACGTGAGCAAAATTTCCTTCCGAAAATGCGTCCTAGACAAAGAGATTTTGGGAACCAATCTTATAAGGTTTCGCATCCATGATCAAAGATTATTTTAACAATCAACACGATTGTGTGCTTCAAAAGTTTAATTTCTGCATGTAATATTATGAACTTTTAAAATGAAAAATATTTTGAACCAAATTGAGACAGCAATTTTGAAATAATTTCATCGGTAATTATATCGCGTTATATATTATCAAAAATTTGATCTAGAATACGAGATTTGCCGATGAGATTTATTACGTTAATATCATGACTGCACAAGACCAGACGCGTATGATTAAGTTATGTTGAGCTAATATAAAAAATATATATATACTGGCAATTAGTAGAGCTTCATCTCTAGTGGTAAGAACTATGGAATCCAAAATGCAAATCATTAGGTAAAACTAGAATAGAGCTGATAATGGATGAATGCAAAAATTTATAATAACCTTCTGAATGAAAATAGTGTTTTTACAAAACAGCAAAAATCAAGTCTTGCTTTTGTATCAAGCTGTGAAAATTATATTGTGTTTTTACGAAGTATTGTTGCATTTTTACAAAATCTATTAGAAATGCTCTCGCAAAGAAAATTAGGGTTGCGTTCTTAAAACCAACATTCAGTAATTGGGTTTGTTTAAACTCAGATACCTCTGGAAAGCATACAGCAGTCTAAAACGATAAGCAGGAATGGCGACATTTATAAATGTAAAACACTTTAAGCAGTCCGATGAAGATTAAAATTGCTTCTGTAATAATTGGAAGTGAAACTAACTGTATAACAATTGCTTTACGGCAGGCGTCACGTTATATGTCATACTTGAAATTAAAAAAAATTGAAACGACAGGGCATGCCAATTATTTTTGGTATCCAATTATAAGACGTAAACACAAGACTTGAGTTAAACGGAATTGAATAGGGATACATTTTTTGGTAAAAGTTTAACCTGTGATAATAAAAGATGTATTATTTTTGCAGAAAATTCAGTTGATAAATTTTAAAGTCAGTTAAAATTTAACAATGAAAGCGTTAAAATCTGTTTTCAGTTTAAATGCTGTTTAAGTTACAGAGATTCATACAATGACAGATCTGTTTCGATGTTGTTTAAATTCACTGATCAGAGAGGTATTGTTGCGTTTTACGCCCATAAAGCGTTGAAACACCACCTCCCGTATATCACAAGTTGAGCAATGTCGAGCCTGGTCACTACCTAGATGGGAGACTACTTGAGAAATACTAAGTGCTGTAAGCTTGGACATACGAGTAGTATAATGGCCCGGAATTGTTAATCGGAGAGCCGAGTTCCAATTTCACTTCAGCTCGTTATATTTTCTCCCACAGTTACGAGACAATAATTAAAAATTGTATCACTAAACAATTATTGTTTTAAATAAAAAGACTTACAATCTAAAAATAGTCTCTGGTTTTAAATAACTTGGAAAGGGTTGATAAGCCGTAGAAAACGAATCGATCAATCAAATATCGATGAGTTCAGCGTGATCTTCCCGTTGGAAAATAGCTTCTACTTTCTTTTTTCTCTAAAATAACTTATCCAAAACATTTTCTCAAAATTGTTAACGTTAGTACACCAAATAAATAGGAGTTGTGGTTTGAATATAATCAAGCTTAAAGAAAGATGAATTACGCATTTTTATATACGGTATATTATTAATTTGTCATTCGAGAGTTTTTGCCGTAAGTGGCAATCAGGCTACGAAAGATTGTTCCACAGAAAAGCAATCTCAAAGGTATAAAGATTAAATATAATTATTTATATACTTTTCGAGAGATTACACTTAGAGACTGTAGTTCAGTGTATCGCATATAAAATGTAGCAAATTAAATCCGTATATTATTTACCCATACTTTTCATGATAATGTAAGATGCAATTGGGAATAGATGCTAATCAATGACCTCAACCATAAAACCTACACTTATTTGAGATTTTATTATCTAAATGAAATTAACTCAGTTTGACGTTTATATCTCTCTTCTCTTAAAATTCTATTTTTAAGAAAATTCTCAAGTTTCTTAAGCAAAAAACAAATAAATAAAATATGGCAAACCTTCTCAAACTGTTCTTTTAATAAATTCAAAGTATACGTGTGATTTAACCATATTTTGCTTCCTATGTGCCTACTTTGTTGGGTAGATTGGTAAGGATTTCTTTATTCGCGAATGCTTATATTTTGTTTGCATATATTCATTTGTTCTATTTTTTAAGGTCATTTGCTAATTCTTTTTATCAAGAATTCGCGAATATGGTGATATTTAAAACCTTGGATTATCAGTACCAATATTGGAGCTGCCCGTCTGCAAGGAATTGCCACTACTACACTCTTCATACAAAAAAAAAAAAAAAGAAAAGAAGTTTTTACATGTTAAGAGACAGAAAATTTTCGTTAGAAACAAAGAAACGAGTATATTGAAATGTGGTATCTGTCCTGCTATATGCCAGCGAATGCTGGGAAATCTCCTCAAAGATAAAGAGACTTGAAGGTGGTTCTACAGAAAGACGCTGAGGATACCGTGGGCCAAACATCTGAGCAAAAACTATGTTTTGGAGAGAATTGAAACGAAAAGGAAACTTATACTTAACATCAAGAAGAAGCAGTTGAAATGTCTGCAGCACGTAATGAGGAAGGAGGGCTCAGAAAATCTGATACTCACAGGACAATAGAGATCAACGTGTAACATACTTGATGGGTTTGAGCAAATGGAGAGCAGAACAGGATTTGGGATAAATAACAAAAAGACTATAATTCTTAAGAACTACAAGGGACAGGATGATGTGGAGGTTCATGATCGGCATATAATAGAGAAGAATATAGCGTATAGAACAGTAAGTAGCTCCCCCTGTACGTTTAGGTGCCGCGTAAATAAATAGATTCTGAAAATAAAATTGTGTTGGGATTAATTTCAAGTGTTTACGAAAAGAATTTCCATGCAATATTCGTAGATTTCAGTGCGTTAGGTCTTATACGTTTAAAGCAAGTAAGTACAATTTCCATGTTTAATGTATGTTCCTTTACTTAGCAGGGCTTAATTTTAAATAACTTCTCTGAAAAAGATCGCTTAGAATTTATTTTAATCGTTATCGCACCATGTAAGACAGTAAAAACAGTAAAGCAAAAGGGGTTACAGGGTGTGAAAGAATTAGGAA